TATATATATATATATATATATATGATTAATTCAAAGAGATTAACAAGAACAAGAGCGGAAGCAATACCTGAATCCATGAGAATCTGAATTAGGGTTGTTTGATCTTCTAATCTAGATGGCCTCTCTCTTAGATTTCTCTCTAGATGGGGGTGAAGAGAATAAGAATGTTAATCCTATATTAGGGACCATGACCCCTTATTTATAGATATTATACTTTTATAATTTGGCCCCTCATTAAATTATAATTACAACCTGGTATCTGCACAATTAGCCCATGATTTAATTAAATACCCATTGACCCAAATTAACTTAATTGATCACTTTAAGTGAGTCAACTTTACAGATAGCATTATACACTAATATAACATATATGCCCACAAATAGATTTAATTCAACAGAATTCTCTATAGGTGGAAAAAAATTCTTCATGATGTGATAGCCAAATCCCATTATTTATTGAATATATTATTGAATTTGAGATTGAATAGATAATTGAATCTATTAGAATTCCCATTGATAATTGGGTCACCTAATTTTATTAGAGTTCCTCCTTGATGGAAAAAAACTATATATATATAGCCTAGGCTTGTCAAAACCAAAACTAGTTCGCATCAACTTTAGAGCAAGTGCAGCAAGCTCCCAGTTGGGAGTCCTAGTCAACATGCTCTCAAGAGCTCTCAAGCATTTTAGAATAAAAAATTAACAAATTAAGTCTTGCACTAGTAGAAAAACGATCAACCTAGACGGAAATTTCCGTCTAGGTTGATTCAAATTCCGTCTAGGTTAGATCAACTAGACGGAATTCCGTCTAGTTTGGATGGTTTATTTTTCTTCCGTCTAGATTGAAGCAAACTAGACGGAATTCCGTCAAGGTTGATCAATCTAGACGGAAGACAACCTAGACGGAATAAGAATTCCGTCTAGTTTGATAGACCAGACGGAATTCTGTCTGGTCTGTCAAACTAGACGAAAATTCCGTCTAGTTTGACAGACCAGACGGAATTCCGTCTGGTCTATCAAACTAGACGGAATTTCCGTCTAGGTTGGTTTTTTACAACCTAGACGGAACTCCGTCTAGGAAGATTCAACCTAGACGGAATTCCGTCTAGATTCCTTGCCCATTATTTCCAAAAAAAAAATTAATTAATTTTTATATTTTTCCTGACAATTACATTATATATTGAAATATCAATCCAGAAAATTGTCTAGTACAAGGAGCCATATTCCAACATCCAATTATAACAATAATCATTAACAATTCATTCAATAAACATACTTATAATAAACAAATCAAACCTTGTTCACACACACTGATAGTTCTCTTGTCAGATTTATCTGATGTTCTTATAAGATTGTCCCTTAGATTTAACTATACGACATTTGGATAGTGTGTAATGAAGAGAATCTGATTAGTCGGTAGGTATATCTTCTAAAATATTTAGTTGATGATGTTGAGAGGAAATCATCACTTGGTTTAGACCTAAGTGTATCTTATTTTCCTCCTTTTGAAGGAGATGATTAATCTCTAGATCATTGATGTAGACATAAGATACTACAGGTGCTCATTATTGAATGAGTTGATTTGATAACGACTCGCCGAGAACTCTAAGTTGGTAATAATACTTAAAACTGTCAATAGAATTCTGTGATAGTAGTACATGTAATCTCTTGACTGAGGCATGAGTGAATATCTTATTATTCAGTAAGATTATTTACTTTTAACCCTTTAACACAGTTTATGAATTGCGGTTGCATAACGGTTCTGTGGGTACACATCCCGAAGACATAGTGAATATTGAGATGCAAGAGGGATTATCTC